CCTCAAGCACACGGTACACCTCAAGCACACGGTACACCTCAAGCACACGGCACACCTCAAGCACACGGTACACCTCAAGCACACGGCATACCTCAAGCACACGGTACACCTCAAGCACACGGCACACCTCAAGCACACGGCACACTACCCACAAGGTACCCACACATTGAGGAAGATGCGGTACTCAGGTCCCCAGTTGTGGGGCTGGATGTGTTTAAGGGAGTGTGGGAAGCGGACCGCGGACCGCAATGTGGACACAATCTTCTCGCCGCCCCCCACCAGGGGCACCACCTGCCCTCGGTCCCGCAGCTGGCGCACGTACACCTTCTCCAGCTTCTGCTGCACCTGTTGCGGGTACAAACAATACACATAATTTATGTATAACATGTGTAAGTCATGTATAATAAACGGCTTTTACTTATGTATAACACATGTAAGTCTAAGTCATGTATATCAAACGGCTTTTATCATAATCAACCGCATACTAACAATCGTGTCATAAGGTGAGCCCGACCTATTGGCTATGAGACCTGTAGATGATCCCTGAGACATGATCTACCATCTCCTATGAGACCTGTAGATGATCCCTGAGACATGATCTACCATCTCCTATGAGACCTGTAGATGATCACTAAGATCTACCATCTCCCACAACTCCCCACCACCTCTACGGTACGCACGTCATTGGTCTGCAGGTTGAGAGAGCGTCGCTTGGTAGGGGAGAGTTGCGGGTTGTCCGCCGCCAGCTTGCCTAGGAGGACACCAGCGAGTGCCAGCAGCGGGGTGCTNATCCCTGAGATATGATCTACCATCTCCTATGAGACCTGTAGATGATCCCTGAGATCTACCATCTCCCACAACTCCCCACCACCTCTACGGTACGCACGTCTTTGGTCTGCAGGTTGAGAGAGCGTCGCTTGGTAGGGGAGAGTTGCGGGTTGTCCGCCGCCAGCTTGCCTAGGAGGACACCAGCGAGTGCCAGCAGCGGGGTGCTTTCTGCCGCTGATGGTCCTTCCGATGATTGGCCTCCAGCTGATGGTTGGCCGCTCAAGAGGCGGCCAACCATTCCATTTTTGTGCTGAAAAATAAGTGGATAAGCGACAGATTCCGCCCGACTTCACCTTCTGCTTGAACAGATTTTTTTAAACGAAAACCGTCAGCTGTGTTATTAGTATCATTCGCTTTTAAAGAGAATTAGAACATTTCATAATAATTAATGCTAAATTCCCAACAAGAACTCTCAACGTTTCCATAAGGTACCAGTAATTTTTAACGATAACTCTAACTTCAACGTGGGTGTATCCAATAACCTCTGCGTTGACTGCGAATAAAATTGCGGAGAAATCTACGGTCTTTACATTGAGCGAAAATGAATGCGTTTTGCGTTTACGTTCATCATAACAAAAATTCACGCCCCTCCCTGGGGTTACCTGCCACTCCACGGGGTGCAGGGGGAAGACGCCCCCCACGCCGCTGTAGACCCCCCGCGCCTTTTGGAACTGCACAACCCCTCCCTCATCGCCGCCTGCGTCGCCGTCGCCTGTGGGTTTTACGTCACCATTTATTCCTCCGTCAACGTCGACGTCGTCAGCTTCGCCTGCGTTTTCGCCTGTGGCAGGTAGGAGTCGTCTGGCGTCGCCTGTGGCGACCAGCTTTGCCATGTAGCCCACAGCCTGGGGTATAAGTAAGAATAATTCTTATTTCGGAATTGGATGCGGAAATTAATCCCGAAATTTACATGAAAATTATTTTGCGTTATTTGGCTCTAAATTTACCGTGAGCTCAATCGATGGCTTTAATATTGGCTTCAAATTTACAATGAACTTAGTCGAGCACTTTATTACTTGCTTAAAATTCGTTAAGGAACTTCCCATTTTCCCATATTACTAAAATTTGAAACAAGAACCAACACAAGGGGCCACGGCTATAAATTAAAAAACTGCGCTGCAACTCATCCACGCGACAACATTTCTTCTCGCTTCGAATCACCGACAATATCAGCCCAGTTAACTAAGCTGTCAAAATCATCTTGCAATTGCGCTTTATTTGACACATTCTTCACTGACTAGAGAAAACTATAGAGAAATATATGTTCAGACTTGAAGTGCCTAGCACAATATCGAACCCGGTGGAAGTCTAGTAGCTATTTCAAACTATCAACAGTTTGGAAAAGATTCCGGTCGAATGACCTGTTTTTAGATCTCCAGTGGACAAGTCACGAAAAGTACAAGAATCGGCGACAAGCCACATAAGGCCTACTTATCAGCGCCGACATCACTATGTTATGCTATAAATGTTACCAGAAATATGGTATGCAAGTGACCTCACCTAGTACCAACACAGGGAGGAAACATTCACCCGCTGGAGATAGAGGAAAGCATCTTTATTCTCTTGGGACCAGACAAATAATTCCAAAGATATTTAGACCGAAGAAAGAAGTCCTTACCTTCTGAGGCCCAGAAGCCTTCGTGTCTCGTGGAGCCTTCAGGATGGGCAGGGTGTAAGGGCCCTCGTTGGCTTCAACGCCTCCTCCACGTCTCTTTTGACCCTCATTCTCTTGAGGTTCTTTCTTTTCATCAATATCATTGTTTCCTTCTTCATTGTCTTTACCTTCTTTCTTGTCTTTATTCTGATTTCTTAGGTAGGTTAGTTTGTTGATATTCGCAAGATTGTCGTCGCCACCTTCGTTGTGATGGTATTCCTCCGCCAGTTTTTTCTGGACTGTGATTGGTGCAAATGCACCGGACTTCCTTCTAGTCTCATCCAATGACGAGTCGGCAATATAAACTACGTCTAATCTAGAACCTTCTGCGCCCCTAGGCGAAATGGCACCTCTTTGATCACCTTCAACGTTTATTATATAATTAAGCACGTTTGCATCACCCAAAGGAGCCACACGGCCAATATTTTGGACCAAGTAGTTTCCGGCGCCTAAAAGTTCTGACCCCATCTCCCTGTTTATCTGCAGCCCAATTCTTCCATTATGATCTTCAGGAAGACGATAACTAGTCTCATTCGGAAGCTGCTGTTGATCGTGTTGTCTGGGATCTTGCAGTTGATTTTGTCCCTCTTGTCTATGATCTTGCTGTTGTTGCTGACCTTGTTGGACAACAACAGCTTGCCGTTGGTCGTCATGTATCAGCTGCAGCTGATCACCTGACTCATGCTGTTGCTGCTGCAGTCCCTCGTGCTGCTGCGGTCTTTGCAGCTGCTCGTGCTGCTGCAGTTCCTCGTGCTGCTGCTGTATGCGTCGTGCTGCTGGCTGCTGTAGGAGACTCACTCCGTCGTCAGGAGGCAGGAGGACGACGGCGGCCGCCCACAGCAGCGTCGCCGCCGCAGCCGTCGCCAGCGTGCGGCGCCCCAGACGTCGCGTGCACACACGCCACACGACCGACGCGCCTGCGACCAGATTAATCCCGTTAATAATTATCTTAATTAAAATTAATGGGCTCATTCATAGTTGCCAGAACATCTTTCTCATCGTAATTATATTAAACAAGCAATAATGTGTACAAAGGTCGTTGGGTACAAAGGTCGATGGATACAAAGGTCGATGGGTACAAAGGTCGATGGGTACAAAGGTCGATAGGTACAAAGGTCGATGGTACAAAGGTCGATGGGTACAAAGGTCGATGGGTACAAAGGTCGATGGGTACAAACTGTAAAACAAAGTTTGCCTGGAATATGAAATATCGCCCGTAGAAAAAAATCTCATCATTTGGCCCGTTATTTAAAAGTTGTTCAAACCTTGCCCTCTGCACTGAGCTGTGCAGTCAATGGCCCGCCAGCATCAACGAACTGAGCTCGCCATCAACACTCATTTCATTTTTTTATTAGTATGTGAGTTTCTGGTCATTAATTATATATGTGCGTGAACAGGCATCAGTTGTAAACATTCCACAACACATACTTCCCAGAATATTATGAATGCTTAACAGTTCTATATTAACAATCAGGAGTATCTCAAGTAGGGTGGGGGATTCACCCCCTCCCTCTGGGATTCACCCGCTGGGGGACTTCCCTCCCTCTGGGATTCACTTCTCCCTCTGGGATTCACCCCCCACCCCCTGGGGGACGTTTGCTAATTATTTTTAATGGCGCGCAATAATTGGAAGCTCCAGCGCGGCTGTAGCGGCTAATGCACAGCCTAATTAATGGTCGTTTGTGTTTAATAACTTAATGGTTAACTGGCCAACAGTTTAATGGGGTCCACTGATGGAATAGTCAAGCGGCTAATTATCCTGAAATAGAAGAAAGAGAGAAAAGAGAGAAGGGAGAGAAAAGAGAGAAGGGAGAGAAAAGAGAGAAGGGAGAGAAGGGAGAGAAGAGAAAGAAGGGAGAGAAGAGAGAGATGAGGGAGATGAGAAAGATGAGAGAGAAGGGAGGAGAAACAAAAGAGCAAGAAGAAAATAGTAAATGAAAAAAAGAGGCAGTGAATGAGGAAGAGAGAGGAAAGAGAGGAATTGAGAGGGAAGAGAGGATTTGAGAGGAAAGAGAGAGGAGAGAGAGGAGAAGGGAGAAAAAGAGAGGGGGAAAGAAGAGAGAGGTAAGTTAATTGGGAAGAGAGAGGGAGTGAAAACACAGCAGGCTGTACAACACAGCAGGCTGTACAACACAGCAGGCTGTACAACACAGCAGGCTGTACAACACAGCAGGCTGTACCACACAGCAGGCTGTACAGTATACAGCCTACACATGACACACAAATTATTCAGATCGTTCTCTAAATTCAAGCCTCGGCCCGTGTCAGGTGCAGTGCAGCTGAACAACTTATCAGATGCCCGGCCTGTGCACCTGCTGCTGTGGCAGTAAGCGCTGCTGTGGCAGTAAGCGCTGCTGTGGCAGTAAGCGCTGCTGTGGCAGTAAGCGCTGCTGTGGCAGTAAGCGCTGCTGTGGCAGTAAGCGTTGCTGTGGCAGTAAGCGCTGCTGTGGCAGTAAACGACCGCCTGATTGGCTGATATTAAAGATAGCCAACATTCATATTACAAGTTAAATATTCGCATGTTCATAACTATTCATAATTTTGTTAACTTACATAATCTGCTAAATCTTTTTTTCGGCTCCATTATTTTATCCACATAAAATTCATCGAAGAAGAGTGAACGTCAAATTTTTATTTTATATGACGGCATAATTGATATTTACATCATTAATTTAAAATTCTTATGGGTTTAGAAGATTATATTTATGTTAGTCACGATTTTAGTTGTGAAAGTTTAGAATTCATCAGAATTCATGTCAATGAGTTTCAAACTTACACTGTTGTCAATTGAAATTCTAATCATCTATTAAGACTCGTTAAAAACTCGTAAGTTATTATAATACATTAATTATCGATTAATCATTTTCAGGAAGGTCGCTGGAGCCTCTAAGAACACTCACTCGCAGCTACAGGCGAGACAATACTGGCAGCTTATACATGTCTCGTGTACAGGCTTATAACTTGCCGGGTAGACTACAAGCGGGTAAAATGAGCCAGAACTGATATTGGCATCAACATTCCATCTGTATAAGTACCTTAAGAGAAAGGTCTTTTACAATAACCATTATTTGTATAATGTCCATTAGTATGCAAAAAGTGGAGCTTAGTCATCATGTCACTCCAGGTCCATTAGCTTAAGGGAATCAGCATATCGCTAAACAATTAGCATATCCTCAACCGCTTGCATATCACACACCCATTAGCTGAAGCATTAGCACGCTGCATCCCATTACCTCCACCCCTGTATACTGGGGCGCGTGCCGGAGGCCAGCTTTGCCAAACTTCACACTTGGTTCATATTCCTTTCATAGGTTTGAACGCTATAGAGGGCATAACAGCCTATGAAGTCAAGTGCTCAAAGCCATAGCGCCGCATGTCCACAGCCACAAAATAAACTTGCTATATGTAAGCATGGCCTCACTGCATCTGGCCAAACCTCTTTCGGCCTAACCTCTTCATGCCTAACTTACACAAGTGGCAACATTTCTTCACACAAAACAAACCTGAGCGGACCTAACCTAACCTCAATGGCTGCAAGAAGTTACAAAGGCGGTCCAAGTGTGCTGGTAGAGCCAGTCATTGGCTGCAAGAAGGTTGTAAGGCGGGACAGCGTGAATAGGTTAGGCCCGAAGAGGTTAGGCCGGAGTAGGTACAGCCGGATGGGGAACTGCCTGCTTATGAGCGAGCATGCTTAAGCAGTGGCTGAAGGCCTACGGCACTATTATCTTTCGGCAGTGTGTCGCTTGTCTGGATTACGGAGTTCAAGCGTAGTCTGCGGCTTCTAGTTCTGAGGCTGAGTAAAGTTAATGCACGGTGAAGCTAGGCGTTGGCTACAGGGCTTATTTAAGTGTAAAATTTGTGGCCTACGGCTGCGACCCCCTATTCACGAAAGNCCACCAGCTACACGCAGCATCCCATTACCTCCACCAGCTACACGCAGCATCCCATTACCTCCACCAGCTACACGCTGCACCCCATTACCTCCACCAGCTACACGCTGCATCCCATTATACCGGGCTTATGGCAATATCGGTGTTGCCATACTGTGCTGCGTGATATATTGGTGTTGCCATACAATAGTCATGCGTGACATGAGATGTTGCCATACGGCAATCACGCGAGATATCGGTGTTGCCACACAGCACTCATGCATTACATGAGGTGTTGCCATACGGCGGTCATGCGTATAGAATGCATTTTTACTTAGCGAAGCAGGAAGCGAAGAATAGAAAAGAGGATAGAGAGGGATAGAGAGGAATAGAGGAGTGGATAGAAAGGGATAGAGAGAAGGATAGAGATGAGGAATAGAGAGGAGTATAGTGGGGGATAGAGAGGAGGGGGAATGGAAAGAAATTAAGGGGGAAGGATAGCCAGAGTTTTCAGTGCAGATATAAGAGAGTGCAAGGGAATGCAGAAAAATGGTAAACGGATAAATGAGGGAAATAGCAGAGATGTAAAAAAGGATACATTAAAAGGGATAGAGAGGGGAAAAAAGGCTTTGAGTTAGTGAATAGATCGAGAGGACATAAGAGGTAAAAAGAGGACATAAAGGGAAAGAGCGAGGACAGAGCTCGCTTCCTGATTCCGATCCTGACATGTCAGGCCCGAGATGGGGTGGTGGATCTGGCGGACATTTCGAACACTCTTCAGAGCCCTCGTACTGCCCATTCTGGAGTACTGCTCCCATTCTGGAGTACTGCTCCCATTCTGGAGTACTGCTCCCATTCTGGAGTACTGCTCCTCATTCTGGAGTACTGCTCCCCATTCTGGAGTACTGCTCCCCATTCTGGAGTACTGCTCCCATTCTGGAGTACTGCTCCCCATTCTGGAGTACTGCTCCCATTCTGGAGTACTGCTCCCCATTCTGGAGTACTGTTCCCCATTCTGGAGTACTGCTCCCATTCTGGAGTACTGCTCCCATTCTGGAGTACTGCTCCCCATTCTGGAGTACTGTTCCCCATTCTGGAATACTGCTCCCCATTCTGGAGTACTGTTCCCCATTCTGAAATACTGCTCCCCATTCTGGAGTACTGCTCCCATTCTGGAGTACTGCTCCCCATTCTGGAATACTGTTCCCCATTCTGGAGTACTGCTCCCATTCTGGAGTACTGTTCCCCATTCTGGAGTACTGTTCCACATTCTGGAATACTGCTCCCCATTCTGGAGTGCTGTTCCCCATTCTGGGCTACTGCTCCCCATTCTGGAGTACCGCTCCCCATTCTGGAGTACTGATGCCAGCTGTGGACTCCGTTCAAGGCGGGTGCAGTGCGGATGTTCAGCATCCAATTGGGTGTTCCTGCCGCGCGTTGGTTACGTTTTACCTGGTCAACCTAAAATGCTAGACAACCATTCTGTCGCCAACGCTGGTTGTATCGTCCAAATGTCGGACGGCCTTGTCGACCACATGCTTACGTTGGCGTGGACGAACAGAATACCTGCAGCTGACGAACGACGGAGGCAGCGCGCCAGTATAGCCGGAGCGGTGACGTCCAAAACTTCATCCAAGGATATGTCATGGCATGCAAATTTAGTGGGCATAGAGAAATGCTGGAGGAGGGATGGAGAATAGGTCATGAAAGATAGAGAGTAATACAAAAAAGATGATATAGAAGACACGTAGATAAGAAGTGAAGGGTAAAAGTGAGGATAAATACACAGAATGATTTAGTAATAGAGGGAAAAGGGTTATTAACTGGAGAGAGAGGTGCTGTAGAGAGATGATTGAGAGGCTGAGACAGCTAATAATGAGCGAGAGGTGGAGCAGAGAGTGGATGTAGACGAACAGAGGGCAGGAAGAAAGAGGATAGAGAACGGACAGAGGAGGTTATTGAGAGTGGACGAAGAAGAGAAAGATAACGGATGGAGAAATAGAGAGCGGACTTTGGAGGAATAGAAAGCGGACGGAGAAAGTGAGGAAGGCACTCTAGCCCCCCATGTCTGTACAGTATCTTTCTCGTGCCCCCGGGGGCGTTCAGCCGCTCCAGGAAGACTGGGCGACCCGTCCTGCCGCTGTGCGAGTGTCGTCCAACACGCCGCTGTTTGAGTGTCGTCCAACACGCCGCTGTTTGAGTGTCGTCCAACACGCCGCTGTTTGAGTGTCGTCCAACTCGCCGCTGTTTGAGTGTCGTCCAACACGCCGCTGTTTGAGTGTCGTCCAACACGCCGCTGTTTGAGTGTCGTCCAACGCGCCGCTGTTTGAGTGTCGTCCAACACGCCGCTGTTTGAGTGTCGTCCAACACGCTGCTGTTTGAACCTAACCTAACAAAACAAGCCCTCACTTTACGCTCCCCCAGACTTCTTGCAGGTGCAAGTATAAAATATTATTTATTTTACAGATAACATCAGAGATGACAAGTGGTTTCGTGCGGTCAATTCAACACCTTCAAGCTGGCAATGACAACGAATATTTGGCGAGAAGAAAACGACGACAAAAATCTGTCAAGAGATGGCGCTGCCTTGACTCGTCAGCCAAGAGATGGCGCTGCCTTGACTCGTCAGCCAAGAGATGGCGCTGCCTTGACTCGTCAGCCAAGATATGGCGCTGCCTTGACTCGTCAGCCAAGATATGGCGCTGCCTTGACTCGTCAGCCAAGAAATGGCGCTGCCTTGACTCGTCAGCCAAGATATGGCGCTGCCTTGACTCGTCAGCCAAGAGATGGCGCTGCCTTGACTCGTCAGCCAAGAAATGGCGCTGCCTTGACTCGTCAGCCAAGATATGGCGCTGCCTTGACTCGCCAGCCAAGAGGTAAAAGCACATTCAGCGTCTCAGTGTATTCAGTGTCTCAGTGTATTCAGTGTCTCAGTGTATTCAGTGTCTCAGTGTGTTCAGTGTCTCAGCGTGTTCAGTGTCTCAGTGTGTTCAGTGTCTCAGCGTGTTCAGTGTCTCAGTGTGTTCAGTGTCTCAGTGTACAACACTCGCTGCAGTCGCTGCATTTTACCCACAAAAAGTTTATTGCTTTCACTCACCTCTGGCACACACGGCGCTCATGACGGCATTTTCAACACACATTAAGTGAGTCTTGAGTTTTTCAAACCATCGCTACTTTATCATTCCAGATTCCAGGGAAATTCCAAACGTGACGCGCGCGTCAACTGGTAATCCATTTTTCCCATTCCAAACATCCGCCTAAAAAACTAACTCCAAACTGTAATTACTTAATGAATGTTTGCCGTGAACACAGTTCCCTGACATTCAGTGAAGGATGTGAAAGTGAAGGAGTCGTGGCACTGGGAATGACGCGAGTAAGTGCTGAGTAAGAGGTGTTATATACACAGAGATGTCAGGAGCGCTGCGGCGCGACACGCACACCCCACAGTAGCCACGAGGACACTGGCAGTCGAGGATCCTGCGAGCCGCGGCACCTGCAGCAGCCGCGGCTAGAGGCTGAGGGCCTGAAGGAGAACTGCTGGAGTGACCAGCATTGTCCTGTACTATTATCACTGTAATATTCCTTCAGATGTACAAGCGTGCAACAGGATTCAGTAGCCTATGAAGTTAAGTTTTTCCAATCCATAGGCGCCGTAAGCCCGTAACCACTGCTCCTGCCAGTATAGATAGTCTTCATGGAGCCTACACCTCAGCAGGCGCCCACCTCTACAATTACCCCGACTCTCCACCCTAACTAACCTAACGCAACCTCATTGGCTGCAGCAAGACGGTGAGGCGGGGCAAGTGTAGAGGTAAGGCCATGTTGTGGTACAGCTTCCAGGAAGACTATACCGGTGGAGCTGTGGCTGTGTACAGACGAAGACTGTGGCTGAGAGTATATCCTCCATAACTGAGAGTACCTATATCATTACGCACCATAACCTGCATCATTACGCACCATAACCTGCGTCATTACGTACCATAACCTGCGCCATTACGTACCATAACCTGCGCCATTACGTACCATAACCTGCATCATTACGTACCATAACCTGCGCGAGTCTGCGTCATTACGTGCCATAACACGTACCATAACCTGCATCATTACGTACCATAACCTGCGCCATTACGTACCATAACCTGCGCCATTACGTACCATAACCTGCGCCATTACGTACCAGTGCAACAAATTATTGATTATTGTATTGTTATCGGGAGCTGAGCTTCCCTAAAGGTTTCAGAGTGCTAGCTAATGGGAAAGTTGGTGAAATATCGATTGCAAGATTTGATCATCACAGACACGAAAGCGAGCTAAGAAAAACGTGGTAAAAAACAATTCTCATCTTCATTTGAAGTTGTTTTTGTACAAAGTAAACTTGAATATTATATTCCTATAGAACATCCGGTTACACTTATTGTGACACTCACTGCAGCGCATGGGTCAAATACACGGTGAAGGTGATAAATGACCGGGAAGTGTCCACAATATGGCCACTCACCAAGACTGCAAGTGTCCACAATGAGACCACTCACCAAACTCCAAGTGTCCACAATAAGCACCAAACTCCAAGTGTCCACAGTAAGACCACTCACCAAACTCCAAGTGTCCACAATAAGACCACTCACCAAACTCCAAGTGTCCACAATAAGACCACTCACCATGGTCTTGCCAGTAACATTCAGAAAAGCAGACTTGACTGCCGTCCATATCGTAATGAGCGAATAGAAAGACACGCGGAGATAAGACGCAGCGATCATCTTAACCTAACAGTGGACATATACGATAAATAAAAGGCATATTCCGGTGAAAGAAATAATAAAAACTAAACACAATAAAAGTACAACTGCATTTACGTTAAGAAGTAAAGCAAAATAAGAAAAGCTTAGACTCTAGGATACAGATTCACGATAATATAAGCCATTCACAATGTTAGTTTATATCTAGCCAATTACAGACAAGAAGCCCTCCTCTTACAACCATCACGTGTCTTTGTGACCGGTTCAACCAGCGCTTCATAGTGAACAACTCGGAGATCTAGTAATTGATATATAAAATGTAAACATTATTGAAATATATTGGTCTTATTCCGGTACATTTTCCTTATTCGTTAACCTGAGATAATTATTATACGTCTGTAATTACGGTTGTCGACTTTGAAGTTGTTGATTTGAACTCTATGACCTGCCGTCACGGCAGCAAGTGGGAGGAGCGAACTCGATGATCTGCCGTCACGACAGCAAATCTGAGGAGCGAAATCGTCAACAAACAGTAACGGTAGCAAGTGGGAGTAGCAAACACGATGACCCGCCATCAGGACAGTGAGTGGGAGCGAACTTGATGAACCGCCTTCGCAGCGGCGAGTGGGAGGTGCTAACTTGATGAACCGCCTTTAAGGCAGAGAGTGGGAGGAGCTAACTTGATAAACCGCCTTCACAGCGGCGAGTGGGAGGAGCTAAGAGCTAACTTGATAAACTGCCTTCACAGCGGCTAGTGGGAGGTGCTAACTTGATGAACCGCCTTTAAGGCAGAGAGTGGGAGGAGCTAACTTGATAAACCGCCTTCACAGCGGCGAGTGGGAGGAGCTAAGAGCTAACTTGATAAACTGCCTTCACAGCGGCTAGTGGGAGGAGCTAACTTGATGAACCGCCTTTACTGCGGCGAGTGGGAGGAGCTAACTTAATGACCCGCCGTCACAGCCGCGATGGAGGGGGGCAGGAACTTAATGAGAACGTACTGTATACAGGTTACACAGTACACGCAGTGTACAGGTCACACAGTGTGTCGACGTGGGTGCGGAGGACGGAGAGGTAGGCGGGGGTGGGAGGCAGGGCAGGTGGGGGTGGGCGGCCGTGGGTGCCTCCTCCGCTCCCCAGCCTCACCTTCTCCACCAACTCTTCCCTCTCCCCCCTGGAATCTCCTCCCACAACCTGGCGATAGAATAGTCACAAATGTTTTCTCCTCCTTAAATTATACAATTAATATTGAACATTCGTCAAATCGACGACAATACTTCATTAGGTAAGTATAATAAAGTTAAACACAATACCCTTGGATGTTGACGGCATGTCACAACCACGGGTGTAGGACTCCAAATCCCTCACCCCTTGAAAAAAGTACGTTATTTTTTGCAGGATAACTGCACCGCCCCTATTTTTCCAACTAAAATATATATTTTCCTACTCAACGCAAACTTTCGACGCTCAATTGCTAAATTGCACAAACTTAGGGATGAAGAAATGATTGAACTTCTCCAGAGGGTATCACCTGCCGTGAGTGCACACGTCTCTACCCACGGGGAGCCTCACCAGGTGTAGGGTGTGGGGGAAGGAGGGGCTGCGCTTCACGGGGAGCAGGTGACAAGAGAGGCGCACGTTGGGCTTCAGGAAATGAGGACACGCCTCAACCTGGTGAATAATAAAGAGAATTTGAAGATGAATAATGCAGTGGAAATGAATGATGTATGCGTGGACATGCACAGCGATGAGTTCGCACGAGACGCTTCCTGCGTCTCAGGGGCGGGCTATATAAGAGCTGAGCTCGTCACATGGAGGCCAGTTCAGCGCCGGCAGCCAACGCCCGCAGTGCGGTCCTACGGCCTCGGTACCACGCTGGTTTTGATGGCATTTGGGAGCGACTCGTGGACTTCATTGTCTCATATAAACTACGTGGTCATATACTATTTGCCAATTATATCGCACGAATGATACGAGTATATGCATGAAGTGACTAAGAATATGAGGTTATATTACATTATATACAGAATATGAGGTTATAAGATAATGCAGCTATGGTGGCAGGACGATAGTGTACTCACTTGGCATGCATTACGGAGAAGGCGCGATGTGGGGTTGTACCTGAGGGGTAAACAAGAGTGAAAAGGGGAAAGCCAGGAGATAAATGTGAGTAATAAGTTGAACAGAAAATACATGGACACTTCAGCAAACACGAGTACATGAGGGCAATGAGAAAATGATGATAGACAGTGGTAAGTGGACGTGAACGATAAATGAAGGTAAACAGCTATAATTTGGGGTCATAAGTAGGCAATAATTTATGGTTGAACGGATTATGTTCATGAGAACAGAACACAAACATTAACCAATAAAAGTTTTAGGGAGGGATGCAGCAATGCCGATAGCAGTTGCCAAGTCGTATTTTTATGCGTATATAAGAAGCCACGCGAAACAAGCGTGCTCCTAGTTGTCCCCGGTAATTGGGCTGAGTGCTGAGTCACTGTATCGAGTCTCGGTCTGAGCAGCCCGTGACGAATAAGAGCAGAGAAGTAAACGTCTTCAGCAGCCACCGTGCCGTTTGGGGCCAGTCATGTACGTGACCTAAGCCCCGTCAGGCGCCACGAACTTGTATACCCAGCCATAGGGAGTTAGGGTTACTAATCAACTTGTACTTCCCTGTGTAGAGGTGGCGCAGAACATTGGGTGTACGCTTGGTAATCTGATTCGCAAACAAAACACGCTTACTGCCTCATCCCAATGCATCTTTTGCTCTGTAGTCCAAGGCATCTCGAAGCTCACACGTGGTAGACTCTTAGATCAATCCGTCTTCTTAATGAATCTGAAACAAATAACAGGATTACTTGAGTATTGTGGAAATTATTCAACTTTTTATGAGCTCTGTTTTTTTTGTGTCACCCTGTAGTTCCTATCTAATAACTTAAAAAGTTCCCCCACCCGCCCCCTTTCATGAAATGTCGTGAAAGCATAAATCAACGTACAGAGATGGCAGTGGTACCGTTGGATAGGGCAGAATGTCAGCTTTAAGATGAGACTAAAAATCGAAAAAGCCATATCCGAAAATTTTAGGGTATACCGCCCCCTTAAGAAAGCAGCGTTTACGAGCGAGAGCGACGCCAGAAGTTTACAAGGAAGTCATACTGTTCGAAATAAATACTAGAATTACAATTAAGCTGTGAATTTTCAGTCACTTTGTATTCTCAGTAATTTCAATATTAGTTCGAATTCAAGAGTGTAGCTCACCTTATTTAATTAAAAATAAGTGCACCGCACTGGTGCTCTCAGACGATAATGGCACTACGAGTAAGATTAAAGGCAATTGAATAGATTTAGGTGCGGTAGCTCAAATTAAACATCCTTTGATGCAAGTCAATCATTATCATTTAGTTACTGATAGTTCCAGTTTCGCCGTTGGCGCTGCTCTTCGTCAAATAATAGATAATCAGCCTTACCAATAGGATTCTTTTCTAAGAAACTGACAGAAAGCCAAAGAAAATATTAAACTTTTGATCGGGAACTCTTGGTTGCATATTTGTCTGTAATCCATTTTAAACCACAGATTGAAGGACGGCATGTAACATTGTTCACCGATCATAAACCATTATCTGCAGCTTTCAAAAAGACTTCAATACTCAAATCTGACCGCCAACAACGTCATCTTTATCTGGTAACCGAATATGTTGCAGACATCATTTACATCAGGGGTGCACAAAATGTCAAAGCATATTGTTTCATGTCATAGCAGATTGTTTCAAAATGTCATAGCCGCGGCAAATGCGCTCAGTTGTGATCTGTTCGACTTGTCTGCGCTTGGAACGCAGCAGGAAACCGATGAAGAAATCAAGCTCTACATCGACAGACTGAAGCCGTTTAAATTAACCTCGGGAAACATGTGTGAAACTTCAACCCCGTACCCCGCCCGTTCGTCCCTAAAACTTCTCGATGATCGATTTTTGAGGGCCGCACGGCATGTCTCACCCAGGCGTCAAATCATCGCTCAAGCTCATTAAAACCCGTTATTTCTGGTCAGATATGGACAGGAACATCAGAGCTTGGACACGAGAATGTTTGAACTGCCAAAATAGCAAAATTGTCAGGCATACGAATACGAGCGTTGAACCTTTTTACTTTACCATCCCAGAGATTCCAAACTGTACACCTCGACATAGTGGGACTACTCTCACCCGCCACACAGGATGATTTTGCTCCCGCTCCCTACAGGTATATCTTAGCATGCATCGATCGTGCGACCCGTTGGGTTGAAGCAATCCTCAACAGTCTCCGTGTCTTTTCTGGAAGCGTGGATCTCGAGATTCGGAGTGCCTCTGCACGTCATTACTGACCGCGGATCGCAATTCGAAAGCGAATTGTTCAAGGAATTGTCAACCTTGGATGGTTTCCATCGGGTGGATAGCTAAAGGTCAGCATAGCCCAAGTCCACAGTGCTATTCATATACCTTCCCGAGCGTAACGCAGCCGGGCATCTTCACGGCTTTTGACACAAAGCGCCCACAGGGGCAGAGCCGGGGCATGGCGTTATAACTAAAGGACGGCGGTTTTGCGCTTTAGCCTGTGGAGTAGAGCGCCATGAAGCAGTGGCTGTGACGTAACGGCGCTGTTATGTCAGGCGCTTATTTTCAAAAGCCGCGAATACGCCAGGCTGTGTTTAATACAAGCACGCAACAGTTAGGCTATTTGCCCACGGCTATTGCTTCGGTGGCTTGATGTTATCTGGCTGATTGATTCGTATCCAGGAAAGGAAATGACGCCTATGGCTTTAGGCACTTAATCACACAGGCTAATATGCCCTCTAGCGTGATTACGAGCGGAAAGGAATAGATATTGAATTGTGGGCAAGGGCTATGTAGCGGTCTATACTGCGTCCCCTGTTTACGAGTCAATTTTATTACCAACGGCTGCGCTCCCGTTTCCATCGCTTGCGAACAACTGCATGCCACCCACAATCAAATGTAACAATTGAAAGACAACACAGAACAATAAAAACTGCAATAATGGCACGAAAGGAAAATTGGTTGAAGGCCCTCCCTACCGTCTTACTTAGTATTCGAAACATACCAACTGAATAAGGATGTGCCCCATCCGCAGCCGTGACTGGCACGTCCGTACTCTGGGAGCGCAGCCCTACACCACAAATTTAGCTCGTAAACAAGCCCTGGCGCCAACGCCTACCCTATAATGCAATAACTAAACTCAGCTCACACCCAAGAAGCTGTACGTAACTAAGTCATCTCCCCAAACCAACTTTAAGCAACACCTACCTCACTCCACAGCCTGCTGAATCAAATAGTCAATTGTCAACAGGTCCTACTACTAATATGCCCTCTAGCGTGATTACGAGCGGAAAGGAATAGATATTGAATTGTGGGCAAGGGCTATGTAGGGGTCTATACTGCGTCCCCGTACTCTTACATCGACCTTTAATTGCAAACGAAGCCAACGATTTCAATAGCGATACTGTAAGGAAATTAGTGTTGGAAATGTCAAAAATAAATTTCGACAAAGTATCTGACGGACGACTTCATGGAGCTCCAAAATCACCCATTCCCGAAGACTTACGGCACTGCACACACGTCTGGCTCAGGATTGACAGAGTTCGCCGCCCACTTGAGGCGCCTTACGCTGGTCCTTACGAAGTTATAAGCAGACACGAAATTTTTTCACTATAAAAACCGATGCAGGAGTCGAACAAAACGTTTCAATTGACCGCCTGAAGCCTGTCCACAACCCAAATTTATCCGAAGGTTTAAAACAACGCAAAAGAGAAGTCTCAGTCACCCCACCATTACCACCCAGCGACAAGCACGAAAATGAAACTTCCAAAACGGGTGACCTCAGTGTAAAGCCCTCCGACGCTACACCCAATCCAATAAAATCTAGATTTGGTAGGATTGTTAAGTTTAGGAATAAGAGTGATTACCATTATTATTGATCTTGCTGGCTCTGCCACTAGGGGGGGGGAAGCTGTGTAGCGGTCTCCTTCAGGATTTTGAAATCCTGAAAAAATATATTTTTTTAAATTTAGAATTAGATTTAAATTGTAAAAATGAGATTTTGTTTATATGTGAAAGTCACCTCGATGAATACAACAGTAGTTAACTTCATTCCAACTTTTAGTATTTCGATTCATTTCACCGGAACCGCTTATTAGAGTAAGTACTAAGTGTTGCCACTGTAATCGCATAGTAATTACTTTGTTGAATAGCTGAAGAGCCTGAAGTTATTTAAAATGATTATAATATTTTCTATGTACTTGTATTTCTGTAAATTGATGTTATCTGTTATTTGATAGTTCAGGGTTCTATACACATACAGAGACCAAAAAAAGGGTGCTTATTTTCCTCAAAGTCAACGTGAGACGCCTTAGGAAGTTAGGTAGAGGTACAATCTCAAACTTGCACCTCACTGCTACAATTCTGTTGTGCAGTTTGTGCTTAACCGCCCGGCTTTCTCGCCGTCGCAGATTCTGACCAGAAACTGGCGCACAGAGCTGCTGAGCTGGGATTGAACCTTGGTACTCTGAACTGTGAAGTGTGAACTTTAACCACTGGGCCACCCTCTAGTCTGGAAAAGTCCTATTTTTGTCTGAAATATCGCGGCTCTAATATCATATAATTTCAGTAGGTATGAAATCTTGCGGCTCGAATGTCATAAATTTATTCCGGGACAAATTTTACCCTCTGTCCCGTTATTTTTTTCCCGGAATTTTCTCGTCTCGTTTCGTCTGTCCCGGTTCATTTCGAGACGCAGGAGTCTAGGTAGTACATCCATGAAAGAAGTCTTTATAACGAAAGGTTTACTTGGCATTACTTTCTCAAAGGAAAGCTGGCCGGAAAGACCTGTATATATTTCTAAGAAAATTTTTCAATTTTATCTACGGAAAAATGCTTACTCGCTTCCAGCTTGAATTATGGAATTAAAAACATTTCTAAAGCGGTTCAGGCAATTTCTACAAGTGGTATACATAAAATATTAGATAGAAAAACTATAGAGCAACAATGTCATCTCTAACACAGGAAAAAACATTTAAATTCGTTGCTCGTTAAGTTAGTTGGCTGTAATTAACCTGTTCTTCGTGTGTACATTGA